GCTGGTGGCAGACTTGGACAGTGAGGAGGTTGGGGAGGAACATGGGCCAGTCCTGGAGTCTGGGGAAGGCTCGGACGAGGGCTCTGCGTCGGAGGCAGAGATGGGGCCAGGGCCGCCCGACAGTTATCAGCTGCCTTTGGAGTCAGAGATCAGTGGGGCAGAAGAACAGCTGGAGCCTTTTCCCAGTGTGCACTTGCGCAGAGCTGCCAGAGGAAGGGAACATCTAAGGAACAAGGGTTGACTCAGGAGTAAAGCCACAAGTGGATGGTGAATGGCCCCTCCCATAGGGAATAAAGAGGAGCGAAAGGGGATTGGGGTTTGCAGCAGACAATTAGTTCATTCCATTAGGGTGAAAAACTGTTCCTGACTTCTTATCAAGTAATTGCTGCTACAGCGTGGCATTTGGAGGATATCGGCCTGGCAACTCTCCAAGCCTGATCAAGGTCCGTAGTTGTGAAATCTCATGAAAGACTGTTGGCCGGGACTTTGCTGGAGAGGAATTCCCTTTGACCTAAATAAAAGGGGTTTTATCGGCTTCATGATCTTGGGAAGACCAGATCAGAACACATGTGAGTGGTAGGCACATGGGCGACCACGCCAAGCTCTATTTGTGTGCGCAATTGGAGCGGCATATGTGGAACCATCCCTCCCCCACACCCGCTGAAAGGTTGGGGACTGCTCATCTAAAGCACTAGAGTGAGGATAGGTCACCTGGAGAAATTCTATGTGATTGCTACGATTAGGCAGGGATATGATGACCTATAATTAATATTGGAGGAATATGTGATGTGGAAGGCACAGAAGGCCCACGGAGAAAGCAGAATAAAGTGGAATCTGGACAGTGGCATAAACACAGGTCAACTATCCTCTCTGCCTCTTCTATAAAAGTCTCCTTGTCTTGGTCAGGGATCGGCAACCTGCGGCTCTAGAGCCTCATGTGGCTCTTTCAACCCTCTGCTGCGGCTCCCTGTCGTCGCCATAATTTTGAGAGGAGCTTCCGGGTTTTTTTGGGGGGGGGGGGGGGGGGGAGAAGCACGGCGTGCCATGAGGAAACTCTATGGCAAGGGGCGGGTTTTCTGGTCGGCTCCACAATTGATAGGGCTTTTGGTTAGAACAGGTAGAGGAAAAAGGACACGGCCTTAGGAGGAGACTGTGGGGTAACAAGCCTTCCAGTCAGCTCCATAATTGAACAGGAGGCTTCTGGTTAGGACTTTTGTGGCTCTTTGAGTGTTTAAGGTTGCCGACCTCTGGTCCTAGGTAAAGGTAAAAGTTTCCACTGTCCAGTCATGTGTGACTCTAGGGGGCGCTACTCATCCCTGTTTCTTAGCCGAAGGAACCACCGTTGTATGAAGACATTTCTGCGGTCATGTGGCCAGCCAGACTATACCCCAAAGGTACACAAGAATAGTGCTACCTTCCCACCTATTGATCTACTCGCATTTGCATGCTTTCGAACTGCTAGCTGGGCAGGAGCTGGACCGAGGGACGGAAACTCGCCCCATTGTGCAGCACTCGGGTCTCGAACCGGGGCTGTCCAGCTGACAAGCTCAGCAACTTTAACTGCTGAACCCTCCTTGATACTAGCTGGAAGGAAAGCACAGGTAGTTCTTGGCTTACCACCACGACCGAGCCCAACATTTTCATCGCTAAGTGGAACCCTTGTTAAGTGAGTTTTGCCCCATTTTACAACTTTTCTTGCTGCAGTTGTTAAGTGAATCAACATAGTTGTTACGTTGATTAACCCAGTCGTTAAATGAATCCGGCTACCCCATTGACTTTGCTTGTCAGAAGGTCGCAAAAGGGGAGCACGTGACCCCAGGGACACTGCAACCGTCATAAATACGAAGCAGACACCAAGCCTCTCAATTTTAACCATGTGACCCTGGGAATGCTGCAACTGTGGAAGGTGTGAAAAATGGTCATAAAAGTCACATTTTTCAGTGCCGCTGTAACTTTGAAGGGTCACTAAATGAATGGTTATAAGTTGAGGATTACCTGTACATTTAAAGAGGTGCATTCCCTGTGAACCTGGAAGGATTTGCAGCAATCATAAACTAAGATATACCTAAGGAGATGACACCTTAGCACAGGGGGTCTTCAAACTTGGCAACTTTTAAGACTTGTGGACTTCAACTCCCAGAATTAATCCTCCAGTCATTTTAGCTCAGGAATTCTGGGAGTTGAAGTCCACAAGTCTTAAAAGTTGCCAAGTTTGAAGACCCTTGGAATAGATAGATAGATAGATAGATAGATAGATAGATAGATAGATAGATAGATAGATAGATAGATA